TGAGTACATAACTGGAATACAAAAAAAAGAGGCTTCCTGGAGTAGAGCCCTGGAAGATGAGCAACAGCTGGTAGAAATATATGGCAGAAGGTTCCTGGAGAGGAGAAAGGGAGGGTTTTCTTCAATAGAACTAATGTGTTTTATGAAGTGCTAGTTGCAATCCATTTGTCAGTTATGAAACCAGTTTCATTGGTCATGGCCAATATTTCATGTAAAATGAGAGAGAATAAAATGGAATGGAAAACATCAGAGTACATCACTGTAGAAAGGATAAATTTTGTTAAAAAAAAAAGCATTTGTTTCATTATGTGTGTGAACCAAGTCAAAAAATATTTAAGAAACACTGAGCAAGAATGTCAAGAGTTTATAGGGAAGGTAGCTTAGAGAGTATCAATGATGGGATCTGAAATAAATGTTCAGTAAGAGCCACTGAAGAATAATTCAGGAAATAAGGTGGTCAGCTTTGTGTTTTGAAAAGGAACTTCTAGAAGAAAAGATTAAAGAGCCAGAGACTGCTCAGGTGGCTATTGCAGTAATGCATAAAAGATTAAGATAGTCCAGACTGGGAGAGTAGCAATGGGGATGAAAAGAGAGCCTGCTGAAGTTTAAGCCTCAATATATAATGGTGCTGATCTAGAATGTCCCATAATTCCCTCCAGCAATGAACAGTAGGTGATGTGGAAGGCAGAGAAGGCAGAATGACCCGCACGTGGGATGTTCACTAGTAGGTACAATGGGATGGCACCAGAACTTGTGACTAAGAGAATGATAGAAATGTTAGGCAGTGAAATCTAACCTGGATAAAAAATTGAATGAAATGTAGAAGCTGATTTTTTAAAATGAAGAAAACAAAACACCCACCAGAATGGCTAAAATTAAAAAGACTAGCAATCCCAAATGTTGACAAGGATATGGAGCAAGTGAACTCTCATATACTGCTGATGGAAGTAAAAACTTGTTGGCAGTATCTACTGAAGCTCATCATATACAAATCTTATGACCCAGCTATTCCTCTCCTTGGCACTCAAATGCATTTGTCCAAAAAGACTTGGACAAGAGTGTTTGTAGCAGCCTTATCCATAATAATCAAAAACTGAAAGCAACCTAAGGTTCATCAATGTTAGGATAAATTGTGATGTTTAGACATTAAAGTATTATACTGTCTCTTTTAAAAAATGGGTTAATCTCACAAGCGTACTAGAAAATGAAAGAAGCAGACATGAAAGAGTGCACACTGCATAATTCCATTTATAAGAAGGCCAAAATAGATAAAGCCAGTCTTGGGGAAATGAGAATAGTGGTTGACATTGATAAAGGACAGTGATGAGCTGGTAGGGACTGTAAGGACTTCTAGGAGTTGACTATGTTCTTTTCTTTTTTTTTTAAAAAAAATGTATTTGTTGATTTTAGAGAGTGGGGAAGAAAGTGGGGGGAGGAGACTTGTTGTTCTACTTATTTATGCAGTCATTGGTTTATTCTTGTATGTGCCCTGACCAGGGGTCAAACCCACAACCTTGGTGTATTGGGATGATGCTCTAACCAACTGAGCACCCGTCCAGGGCTCGAAGATATTCTATTTCTCAATCTGGGAGGTGATTAAGTTGATTATGTGAGTGTGTTCACTGTGTGAAAAGTTATCAGGTTTTACATTTATGATTTCTGGTTGTGAAATAGGTTTTACTTAAATTTTTTAAAAGGTAGAAAGTCACAGAGACTAATTATTGTCTTAGAATAAATTCTGGCCTAAGGACAGTTTCCACAGACAGACACCAGTTTCCCAAAGCTGAGTTTCTCATGCACTTCAGTTCAGCCTAGTAGTTCAGGCAAGACCTCTTTTATACTTCATTTATGTTATTTTTATTCTCTTTATCCCCCATCTTTCTCCCTCCCATGTGTATTTAATATCTATCCTTTTAATTCACTGTCCATTTTTCTGTGTAGAAATATGTATATCCTTAAAAGGTTCATAGTGGTGGTGTCTACATGTGCTTTTAATATGTAGACAAATACGTGTGTGTGTGTGTGTGTGTGTGTGTATATCAATGTGTAGAGATGACACTGTACTAATTGTACTCATTTTGTTTCTTATATATTAGACTTATATACGGTGATTTTGAGGTGTATTCATGCAATGTGAAAATATAGCTCATTTATTATCATTGCTGTCTGGCATTCCACTGTATGCATGCACTTCACTTATTCATCACCCTAGTGGTGAACATGTAGGTTGTCTCCTTACTACCACAAACTGTACAAGTCTCCTGATGGATTTTTGTGAGAGTTAGTTAAAAACATTTTACAGGCTTTTCATCTTTAACATAAGGTTTTTTCCAGGAATATTTAATCACATTCCCATCAGGTTTTATAATTCTTTTTTTAAATTTTTTTTCTCCCAATTGGATAAGCAAAACACTCTCAGGATCGTCTTTTTTTATTTTATTAACTTTAATGGGGTGACATTGGTTAATTAGATTATATAGTTTTCAAGTGTACATTTCTATGATACATGATCTGTGTATTCCATTGTGTGCCCAGCACCCGAAGTCAAATCATCTTCCGTCGCCATATATTTGGCCCCCTTTACTACCCTCCACTGCCCTTCCCTCTGGTGACCACTGCTGTCTGGCAACATAGTGCTGTCTGCGTCTATGAGTTTCAGTTTTATATTCCACAAACGAGTGAATCGTTTGTTTCTTTGCTTTTTCTGACTGAGTTATTCCACTTAGTATAATATTCTCAAGGTTCACACATGTTGCAAATGGCACTATTTCATTTTTATGGATGAGTAGTGCTCCATTGTATATATGTATATACAGACATATACAAAAAGATGACTTTTTCCAGTCATCTGCTGAAGGACACTTTGGTTGTTTCCATGTCTTGGCCACCATGAATAACGAATGCTTCAGTGAACATAGTGGTGTGTATATATCTTTGCAAATAAGTGTTTTCAAATTTTGGAGGTAGATACCCTGAAGAGGAATTGCTGGGTCACATGGACACTCTATTCTTAATTTTTTGAGAAACCTCCATATTTTTTTTCCAAACTGGCTGTACCAGTTTATATTCCCATCAGCAATGAATGAGGTTTCCTTTTTCTCTACAACCTCTTCAATACTTGTTATTATTTGTCTTGTTGATAATAGCCATACAAACAAGTATGAGGTGGTATCTCATTGTAGTTTTGATTTACATTTCCTTAATAGCTAGTGGAGTTGACTAACTTTTTAAATAGCTGTTGGCCATTTGTATGTCTTCTTCAAAGAAATGTCTGTTGAGGTCTTCTGCCGATTCTTTAATTGGATTGCTTGCTTGTTTGGTGTTGAGTTGTATGGGTTCTTTAGATATTTTGGATATTAACAGTAAAAGTGTCACTTTTAACAGATGACAATTCTTTATATAGAAAGCCATAAACAGTACACCAAAAAACTATTTGAAACAATAAACAAATACAGTAAATTTACAGAATATAAAATCAATGCATAAAAATCCATTGCACCTGGTATACCTCTCCATACCATGCCCCTCTCCTTTCTTGGGGAGTGAATAAAAACTTTATTCTCTACAAAAAAAAATAATAACCCACTGCATTCCTATATACTAATGATGAAATTTTCAAAAAAAGAAAGGAAAAAACAATTCCTTTTGCAATTGCAACAAAAAGAATAAAATACCTAGGAATAAACTTAACAAAGGATGTGAAGGACATATACTGAAAACTACAAAGCATTATTAAAAGAGATTGAAAAAGACACAGTTAAATGGAAAGATATTCTGTGTTCACGATTGGAAGAATCAACATAGGTAAAATATCCATCTTACTTAAAGCAACATACAGATTTAATGTAATTCCCATCAAAATCCTAATGACATTAAAAAAACATCAGATTTGTATGGAATCACTAATGACCCTGATTAGCCAAAACAATCCTGAGGAAAAAAAGGACAAAACTAGAGGTATCACACTACCTGACTTCAAATTATACTACAAAGCAATGGTAATCAAAACAGCATGTTAATGGCAGAAAAACAGACACACAGACAAATGGAACAGGATTGAGAGCCCAGAAATAAAACCACATATACATGGGCAAATAATTTTGACAAAGGAGCCAAAAACATACTATGAAGAAAAGAAACCCTCTTCAATAAATGGTGCTGGGAAAATTGAAAAGCCACATACAAAAAATGAAATGAGACTACGGTTTGTTTCCATGTAATTCAAAAGGGATCAAAGACTTAAAGAGAAGATCTGAAACAATAAATTGCATAGAAGAAAACATAGGTACTAAACTTATGGACCTTGGTCTTAGAGAAGATTTTATGAATTTGACCCCAAAGTCAAGGGAAGTAAAGGCAAAAATAAATGAATAGGACTATTTCAAACTGAAAAGCTTCTGCACAGCAAAAGAAACTGTCAACAAAACAAAAAGTCAACCAACCAAATGAGAGAAGATTTTTAAAAACAACAGGTCCAATGAGAAGTTAATATCAATACAGTCTTAATTAACACTTTTAAATAGCTAGTAAGTTTCAGCCTTTTTATAGGTTACTTGTTCATTTGTATTCTTTTTAGTCAACTGCTTATTCATATTTTTAATTCATTTTTCTTCCAGTATTTTTGTTTTTTGTTTTTTCCCTCTTAAGAAATTCATGTATTAGCAAAATTTACCTGTGGTCATATATTGCAGATATTTTTCTCTTTTTATTACTAGTTTTATAAATTTGTTTATTATCACGTTGATCATGGAGATAGGGTAGTTTCTTCGTTGTTTGGTTTGGGCCTTATATCTGTCCTTTTATGATTTTGGTTTTGAGGCAATTCTCAAGAAGAGCACAAAAATCGTCTAAGTCAATGATATGTTAAGAGGTAGAAATATAGGAGAGGGAAAGTAGGGTCAAGGGGATTAATTCTAACCAGGCATACCAACGAAGAAAGTAACAACCGAATGATGTTTGATGTTAGAACCTGCTGGGAATGTTTAAAATAAACTAAAATAGTGCTTGCTTCAGCAGCATATACATTAAACTTGGAATAATACAGAGATTAGCGCAGCCCCGTGCAAGGATGACACGCACATTCATGAAGCATTCCATAGTTTTGGAAATAAAAAAAGTATTTGGACCACAGTAAGGATTAAATAAATGGCAATAATTGTTATGACAAAAAAAAAAAAAAGAAGAGATAAACCAAAATATATCCAGGATCACTGGGGTGGTATCTTCTAAAATGTGTCACATGGTAAAGAAAGCAATGGTTCTTTTCTGGTCAGTATAACTGGTGAAAAAATGCAGTCACTTTTTTTTTTTTACATACTGTATTTAGGAATTTAAATCCAAAATATAGATCCAAAAACATAGTGCAATATAAAAAGTGTAGGTAAAGAAATTGTGGAAAAGGGAAATTTAGAGTTGGACAAATAAGATAAAAAGCCAGGGATAACATTATCACACAAAATGCATATCTAAAAGTTCAGTACAAGTTGTGATATTAGTGCAGGAATTTGACTGAGCTTCCTGGTAACAGAAGCAAAAAGAGTGAAACCTTTAATGAAAGTTGTTAATGAAAACTACAATCATTCCAGATACCAAGTTCTGAGAGAAATTTCTCCACTAAGTAAGCCTCAAAAAAATATAAAGAAAGAACAATACCCCATAACCTAGGTTATAATCCCCTGAATGCTATGTAAACAGTGAATAGCATAAGCCCTCCATGTAGGCAGCGAAGGGGAGTACTTGATATTTTTATACCCCCTGATTCTCATACAGAAAGACTGAGCATATCTCCCCTTTTGATGAGCAAATTCTATTAGATAAGGGAAGACAGATGTATGAATGTTCATAACATGTGGGTCAAAATCTTTGAGGTGATTTTTGGTTGTTTTGAGTTCTGTAGCCAAATATTCGACATTGCAGGGAGGGCTTGGATAAGAATTTTGTAGCAGAAAAAGGAGTTTCACACTAAACTGCAATTCCTTGCTGGCTTTTTATTCCTACCTGACACAAACCATCCTTTTAATAACTCTGCAGGGTGCTTAATGAACAATATTTTATTGTAATGATTTGAACTATACAGTTGATTTGCTACCCACATGACTACTTTTCCTTCTGTTAAGACTGGTCTTGTGTGTGTTTTCAGATAGGTCAATTGAGCACTAAGGGTGATGAGGAGGGTATCTTGGAGGCACAGAGTTAACAGGAGCAAAAGCAAGGCGGCGGCACGTTTTTATGTCTCTTATTTTCATCCTAGTGTTCTCATAGACACAGAAGTGAAGCAAAGGCACACTTCATGGAACACAGTCAGCGTGGGCAAAGGCTGTCCTGTATTTGGAATTCGTTCTGGAAGCAGAACAGAGGTGTGTTTTTCATTATGCCACATTGGATTTTTGCATTGGAGAGTATAATTACCAAACCCAGCCCTCAAACCACTGCAAAAACATCACATGCTTCTCACACACATTTTTTTCCTTCAAACTAGCACTCAAGTGCCCACCAAGGGCCCTGCCCACAGTAGGGTTAGTTTAAAATTCTTTTCAAACACAGTTGTAATATGGCTCTCATCCACAAAACAAGTATTATCAGCAGTTAAATCTCAGGATTATTCTTACATTACAGATAAGTAGATACATTAAATGTATAATAGTTATTCTATTAAAACCCTGGGTCGGACTCTCCCTGTATATAAACTGCTCTCCAGGAGTCAGGCTGTCAGTAACTCAGAGATACGTGCCAGTATATCTTTCAAGCTTATATTGATCCCATGCTACACACTGGAAGTTTAGAAGGTCAGTTCTGTTTGGAGTTTAACTTCTATTTAATTTCAAGTTTCAAATCCTTGTTAAGAAGAAATGAAAGAAAGAGACAGACAGTTTCTGCTTCTCCTGTGGCTGAGAGCTCATTTGGGGTCAGTGAAAATTCTAATCCCTGGGCTCTCTTATATTCCCCCTTCCTCACTGCAGATTTCAAACCCATAATTCTCCCTCCTCATCCGTGCAGGCCCAGGATGGCAGTTCCTGGGGCTAGCTTCCTGAGCCGAAGCAGTTTCTTATTGAATTGATTCTAGCAGCTTGAAAGATTTAATGCAGCATTTTGAAGAACTTCAGTCAAAAGGACTAGCGGGGGCGGGGGGGGGAGTCATTTATCACCTGGGTTAGTGTGCAATATATACCACTAATATAATGCAAGATGATTTTTAGGTGATATATTAACAAATATTTATAATTTTAATAGTTGTTTACAAAAATAATAACTTACATTTAAATAACATTTACTATGTGCTGACCTTGTTACATGTATTAACTCATTTAATCCTCCTAACTCAAGGAAGAGAGGAGGTAATTTTATCATCCCCTGTTACAAATGGGAAAACTAAGGCACAGAGAGAGCAAGTGATCTGTCCCTGGCTGTTTCAGAGGTTACAGAGAAAGCCTGGATCTGAACATAAACAGTAGGCCCCTCCTACATGTGCGAGATACGTTCTAAGATCCCACTGGATGCCTGAAACCAATGGTAATACCAAACCCTACATATGTCATATTTTTCTATACTTACATGCCTACAATAAAGTTTAATTTATAAATTAGGCACCGTAAGAGATTAACAATAACAATAATAAAATAGAACAGTTACAACAATATACTGTAGTAGAAGTTATGTCACTGTGGCTCTCCCTTGACCTCAGAATATCTTACCGCGCTGTACTCACCCTGCTTGTGATGATGGGAGATGATAACATGCCTGCGGGTGGAGAGGAAGGGAGGGGAATGACCGAGGCACTGTGACACAGTGTTAGGCTGCTGCTGACCTTTCGATGATACCGAAGTAACAAGCACTTTACGGCTTTTCTTGGGCATATTCGAATTGCTGGCGTCACTGCTCTTAAGCTTTGGGGCCCTTAGTAAGTAGAATGAGGGTGATTTGAACACAAGCACTGTGATACCACAACAGTTGATCTGATAACCTAGATGGCTCTTCCGTGAGTAACGTTTGGGGAACACGCACAGCATGATACACTGGACAGAGGGGTGACTCACGTCCCGGTCAGATGGAGCTGGAGAAGGAGAGATTTCATCATGCTCCTCTGAACAGCATGCAATTTAAAACTTATGAATTGTTTATTTCTGGGTTATTTTCACTTACTATTTTTAGACAGAAGCAAAACCTCAAATAAGGGGGGGAACTACAGTACAGTGTAGCTCTGGTGTCGATACACTTGACCTTTCTCTCGAGTTCTTTTGATGTTCACTGAGAACACCAAAACCTAGTGTTCTAGAACATCCATCGTGTGTAATGAATTACCTTCTCACCTATGCACCTAGTATAGTTATAGTTATGTACCATCCTTGTGTACATAGTGTATATCCTGGTGACTTGACAAAAATAGTAATTTTTTTTTTTAGTATTTCACTATTTTACTCAAATAATTCTTTGCTTAATTCTTACATGTATCCCCTGTTGAAAAAGGCCATTTGGCTCTATTATATAATGTCTACTGGAGAAATATATAACTATATTGTTATGGACTGAATGTTAATGCCCCTCCCCCTTCATATGCTGAAGCCTAATTCCTAATGTGATGGTACTTGGAGATGGGGCTTTGGGAGGTAATTAGGTTTGGTTGAGGTCATGGGGCGAAGCCCTCATGATGGTGTGAGTGGTTTTTTAAGGGAACAAAGAGCCCAGAGCATGTGTGCAGGCTCTTGCTCATGCTCTCTCTCTGTCATGCGAGGACACAGTGAGAATACCGCCATCTGTGAATCAGGGAGTGGCCCTCACCAGACACCACCTCAGCTGGTGCCGTGATCTTGGACTTTCCAGCCTTCAGATCTGTAAGAAATAAATGTTTGTCGTTTAAGTCACCCAGCCTAACCATGACAGCCCAAACTGATGACAACAATGATCTGCTATTGTATAAAAGATCACTGCAAAACTTAGTAGCTAAAAAAACCAACATTTATTTTCTTATAATTTATGCTGGTCAGAAATTTGGGAGAAGCTTAGCTGGGCAGGATTTCATAAGGTTGCAGTTAAGATGTTGACCCAGCCTGCAGTCATGAGACGTCTTCACTGGGGCTGTTCTACTTGCAAGACGGCTTTCTCACGTGACCCTTGAGAGGAGACCTCAGGTCTGCTCTGAGGAGTTACTCGATTGCTCTCACATTATGTCAGCTAGGTTTTGCCAGGGTTTGTGCCTTAAAAAAGAGAACAAGGAGGAAGCTACCGCAGTCTGTCTGCTACAAGGGAATTAGTTAACTCTTGCCTACATGGCAAGGGTAGGGAAATTAACCTACACCTTTTCATTTCTTTATTTAGGGTATTTTTGTTTGTTTGGTTTTTGTTTTAAGCTACTAAAGGTCACTGTCTGATATAAGATAACATTTTCTTAGTTCTCCAATTATTTCTTTAAAAGTTTTTATTAATTTATTTTTTATTGTTCAGTTATAGTCAAAAGGAAGTACGTCAAAAGTGTGTGGACGTATTTTAAAACCCACATTAGCACATCAAATCTGTGGTTTCAGAGGTATTATTTTCCATGTAATATTGAAGCAGTCATTAATATTAGATATGAATTATTTTCTAAGTGGTACATAAATAATAATACAGGTAATGTGCTAAAATAGCAAAAATAGTGAGGATGGTATGTTCATCTCCGTCACTTGGTATTCTCTCTGTTGTGTTAATTTAGTCATTCTAAAAGGTATGCACTGGTTTCTCAGCATGGTTTTAATTTGCATTTCCCTGATGACTAATGATGATGAGCATCTTTTCATGTGTTTATTTGCCGTGAGAACATGTCTCTGCAAATATTTCGCATCTATTTACTGGGTTATTTCCTTTGTATAGTTGAGCATTAAGAGTTCTTTATATATGCTTGGTACAGATTTCCTGTGAGATATGTGATTTGCAAATATTATATTTTAGTTAGGGAGTTGTCTTTTCATTTTCTTGTGTATAGTATGAAGTAAGGACCTAAGTGTTTGTTTTGCATGTAGATACTCAATTGTCTCTGCACAATGTAAAAAGACTTTCCTTCAACCATTCCTTTGTTTTGGTACTTTCATTTGGTAGATTGGTGGCTGGAATAGTGGGGGCTGGCTGAGTTT